AGTTTCCTATGACATACTTATTGCACCCCACATCCTCCCTATCTTCTCCATGTTTCTCAATCTTATCTTCATCACTCCAGTCCAAAGTTCTCACCCTTCTTGCAGCCATACAATCTCTTTTCATATTAAAATTATACAAACCCAATTCCCAAAACATTGAGATGGTAGGTAAAATGCCAATACAAAAACAGAAAGCAGTGATTTGTAAACTTAATTTGAATTTTGTTCAAATGAAAACAAAGGTGAGATTTTTAATGCTTTACCTTCTGATCTTTTTTGCAAATGCATGCTCTTCATGAGACCTGCAGCAAGTTCCAAAAAAATTAGGACAGGGGCAATTTAAGACAAGAAACATTATGAACAGAAAACATCTTAACCAGAAGATGCAACAGGTGATGCTTGTGCATAAAAAAGCATCCAGGAAAAGTAGAGTCTTTTAGGAGAAAGGATAGTCAAGGCTCGCCATTTAGCCAAAAAATGCATCCATAATTCAGAAATAATGTTCCTCAGTGAGCATTTGCAAGGTATTTCACCCTCTATAATCCTGAGGATTCAGAGAAAAACGACATGCTTCTATAATGAATATAGCCACATGACTTTGGAAATACTTTGGAAATGCAAAGTGGAAGACATATGAACATGAACATTCAGAAACGCTGCCAACTTCTCTGGGCTAAAGCTCATCTGAGATGGAAAGATGCAAAGTGGAATCGGTGCTGTGGTCTGATTAGTCCACCTTTCAAATTGTTTTTGGAAATAATGGACGTTGTCTTCTCTGGACCAAAGAAGAAAAGGACCACGCCAATTGTTACCTACAAAAAGTTTAAAAGCCAGAATCTGTCAAGGTACAGGGATGTGTTAGTACCAATGGCGTGGGTAACTGAAATGCAAAGTGGTGAACATGCTCCTGTCCCAACTTTTTTGGAACACTTTACAGGCATCAAATTACAATAAATAAATAAAAAAACAATAAATTATTTAAGCATTAAATGTGTTGTCTTTGTACTTTTGTTTTCAACTGAATAAAAGTCAAAATTGAAGGTCTGCAAGTGCAGATCATTGCTGTCTGTTTTTTATTTACATTTTTCCTACTGACCTAACCTTTTTGGAAATGGGCTTGTATACCGAAGACGTGCTTTGTGAAAAGATGCTTTGTGACAATGTCCGATGAATTGAACTGAAAAGACATTATCCAAAATCGTAAGTTATGTAGATATGGGTGAAAAACTCATATCTTACAGTCTTAAAAATGAAGGTAATAAAACCAGTAATAAAAGCTTATAGTCACACTTTAGCATTGTGCATACTGCAGGCCTAAAGCATCACACACTTGCATTGCGTGACCTCTAGACGTGGTTTCTGACTCTGTATAGCATACTGTAACCTATAAAAATGGTCAATAGCAACAAAATTCAGGCTTCTAGATGGCTGATTCAACTACTTTACCACTGCAATGTACTTTTGTCCATTCTTATAGATGGCAGTATGTCTACATATTACCACAGAGAATATATTTCACGATGTAATAAGGAGTTTGGGCAGAAGGTGGCACCAGCATACTTGTTAACATTCCACTCACAGCCAACAAACCATCACCTACCAATCAAAGTGGTACCACCAAGGGTGAGTCTCTGTACCATCCAATGAAAGGTGTGGCTCTGTCCTGTGACGAAACAGCGGCTGATGTGGCGAGGGGGGGCAGCAGGTGTGGTTATAGTGTTCTGTCCAATGAGGAACGCGCCTGTGTGTGCTGTGGATCCGGTCCTATCCCCTGAGAATAGACATGGCATCTTAAACTGATGTATTTGTAGAGGAGTGCCCCAGTGGAAGAGAGGATCAGGGAGGTGTGTGAGTGTGCGTATGTGGTGGGGTAGGAGGGGTGGTGGCACTATAGGAGCTGCTAGGGTTGCCAGGCAACAGAAAAGAGGAGATTGTAATGTTCCCCGCAGAATCTTTTTCCTTTTTTTTTTTTAACAAAGCTTTTTTTTTTTTCCTGCACAAAGAGCGACTAATGGCCTGGCAGTACCTGCTGCCCTGTCTAAGTAATCCCTCTTAATACCACTGTGGCCATTCAAATCTCTGATGCACTGTGTGATAAACACTAGAAGTGATCTGAGATTCAGTGGTCTGGTCGAGTGCAGCCCAATGATACATAAACAGTATATATAAGAATGCATATATAGTACATATTATTCATTCTACCAAACTGAATCAAAGGCAGAGTTGAAAACACATTCTGGGCTTTTAACTGACTTGGACTTTGGACTAATTGATTTTGTCACTACCAAAACTTCCAAAACTTAGCAAATGTTTCAGTAATGACTGTTTCGGTAGTGACAATTTTAACTAATTTTTAGCATAACTCAAAAACACTAGCCAATACATAACTAGCAGACATAGTTTGAACAGTCTTATACATATAAAATCATATATTTTTTTAGTAAAACACAAAAACATTTACATAACTGCAGAAAATATGTGTTTCTATAATGACAATTTTTAATGTACACTGATTTTCAGACTTTGGGACACATTTATTTCAAATAATGGGATCTAAGTGCCCACCACGTAGCAGGGACGCAGTCTCACTTCCAGCTGTAAAATGCAATGTGGGTAAAAATAAGATAAACTCTTCGTGTTTAGGTTGTGACATGAAAATATGGGTCAGCATTTATTTATTTAAATTTTTATTAAATTCATAAGTTAAGTTTAAATGAAAACAAAATCTATATATTATTTTTACAGGTTAAAATTTAGGGGTTAGGGTTTGGGACAGCTACCTCCCAATAGAAAGTAGCCTGTAAATGATGATTTTGTATATATTTACCCTGTTATCCTATTAGCTTTATGTTTTTGCATATTGCCAATATACATGGAAAAACTGTATTCTTTAAATATTCAAATGGTTTCTTTACAAACAAGGCACACTGCTTTATATTTAAATTCAATAAAAATACATTTTTCACACTGGTGGGCTCCCCATGTATCACCACCTGTTACGCATTAGCTTGTAACTGTCATGTATAAGAAGTAACATCCGCTTCGCATTCAGTGACAACTGTACAGTGCCATGGGTCATAGACATTTTACATTTTAGATTACACTATCGGGTCAGTTTCCAGGACAGGGACTAAGCCTAGTCCTGGACTACACAGCACTCTTAATGGAAATTCTCCATTGAAAGAAAAAAGTAGTCCAGGACACAGGCATAACCCCTGTCTGGGAAACTGACTCTATATAAAACTTTTAAAGTTTTAAAAGAAAAATAAGAAGCTGTTTAAAAACACATTTTCTCTTAGGCTGAGGGTTTACAGAGTAGGGAGTTTTTGGTGGGCCACATCAAACATGTTAGGAGTCTGGCCCAAGCACTCTTATTAATGTAGTGTGCACTCTCAGAAAAAAAGGCACTAAACTGTCACTGGGGTGGTACCCTCAAGGGTACATCTCAGTACCTTTAGTCAGGGGACACCATAATCCACTGGAATCATATTTTCATATCATAAGTATGTATTGACTCCACACACCCCGTCTCGTCTCCAGGCTTTTTATTTTATTGTTTTGTTTTAAAACTTTAGGTTATGAAAAGGTACAAATACATACTTTTCAACTGGAAAAACTTACTTAAGGTGCACAATTGGTCCTTAAAACCACTGTTGTACCTTTGAGGGTACATTTACATTGTTTGTACCTTGATGAACAAAAAACGTACCTGCACAGTCCATTCATTTCTAACAGTGTGGTGTGCTCGCCCAGATGGGGAATCCACTACTTTACACCAGCAGATTTAGGCCATAACAACACAGCATCTCTCACACATACAATATGAACAAATATGAGCACACTGCCTGTGTCAACACTAGGGTAACAGAGTAACACAGTTTAAAGGGCCCATGTCCTACATTTTTCTTGCATTTCATACCTCCGCCCTGAGGTCCAATTATAATCACAATTTTTACATGACCACTGTCCAACCTCTCCTTCTCCCCTAGAATTAAACGGGCTGATTTTGTTTCTGTGCCTTTAAGGCTGATATATGAAAATTACCCATGTTGCGATTGGCTGCTCTGTATTGTGCTTGGGCAGAGTTAAAGTGCTGTAGGCTAAATAGGCAGATATATGTAAACGTGTTGGTTTATCTTGACAACACAGAAACAGTGAATTCAAAATGGGCTATTTTTGCAGCTACATATAGAGCGTATGACCTGGGGAGTGAGCAGTGAAACTTTAGCAATGTCTATGTGTTACATTTAACTTTTTAATGTTAAAATGTGAGAAAGGTGAAGTTTTCCATGATATAGGCCCTTTAAAAGTAACACAAATTGTACTATGTTGTCTAAAATGACTGCCCGCAACATTAAGCTACATGGTAACCATGGTAAACATGGCAATGAAGACCTGGACGTGGTTTGAGAGAAGGTTTGGGGTCTATTTACGGAAAAGATTTGGGTGACTATTGATTTCTATTGCTTCTTAGCAACATTAGCCTAATGGCGACAGCGCACAACCAAAGAAGCAACATTTGGAAACAAAAATGTCTTAGCTGATTGACTACATCTAGGGTAAGCGAAGAAATGGTGAATATGATTTGTCGCCGAACTGTTTCTTTAACTGGACACACGGGGGTGTTTAAAAAACACTCCCTCCAGGTTAGAAAAAGCTGGGGCTGAGAGGGGGGAGAAACGGAAGAAGGGGGTAAGTGAAGGAGAAAAGGCAAGAGTAGACGGAGACATGATGAACATGAGAATCGTTCATTTGCGTGTATTTGTGTCCTGGAGCTTTGCTGTGCGCTGTGTAGAAGGACGGTCAGATGATTAAACAGTCCAGTCCAGGAACGAGTCTGAGTAAAGAAAACGTTTACTCATCAGTGATATGAGTGCTCGCCTCCAGCGCGAGCGCGCAGGGCAGGAGACGGGGAGGGGGCGTGTGTGTGTGTGTGTGTGTGTGTGTGCATTGAGTATGAGAAAGTGAGCATGCGCGTGAGCCGGGGTGTGCGTGTGCAGGAGAGAGAGTGTGAGAGAGAGAGTGAGAGAGAGAGAGAGATTCCATGCTTTGGCTCTCCCAGCCCAGAGATGTTCTCACTGAGTGATCTCCAGCTGTAAGACTAGCTGCAGCAGTGGGCTGGGGGGCACACGCACACCACAGACGTGTCGTCATTGCCACAGTCCTGGCAGCTGGTGGTGTGATGATGTGAGAGGATAAAGGGAGAAGAGAAGACGGGAAGAAGGGAAGCTGTTGCCTTCTTGGAGGTACAGTACCGCACACACACGCTGACAGTGCTGTTAACACGGTTAAAACGCGGAGGCGGTGAGCATGTGCTTGAATGTGAATGATGCTGTTGCTGCTTTAGTGTGTGTGTGTGTGTGTGTGTGTGTGTGTGTGTGTGTGTGATGCTGAGCGGTTGCGATGACGCGCGGTTGCCCCTCCTTAGCTTCTGGCACACACACACACACAGACACACACGCACACACACACTCACACACACACACACACTCAACTCTAGCTTGATTCAGACTGAGTGTGTGGCTTTTGTAATGCTGCAGTGGCTTGAGGTGAGCAGTGTGAGCTGTTTAAATCAGAAGAAGGTGCTGGTCCATGCTAATTCACTGGGAGCAGCTCTATGTGTGTGTGAGGGCGAGAGAGCAACAGAGTAAAGAGAGAATCAATGAGTGAGAGAGATAATGTGGGCACTCCAGGCAATATTTGTGTAACTGGTCAAGGTCACGCTCGGCCATCCAGGTGCTATAATCAAGACTGGCATGCTACACATTGTGAACGTGTGTGTTGGTGGACTGAGGCCATGTTTCACAGTTACTGCAGTCTCTCCGTTCCCAGGATGGCAAACACCCAGCAGGAGTGACAAGTCTCCACTCACTTCATTTACAAAAAATGAGGCACAGTTAAAGGAATACTCCAGCTTTTTTACAACCTGGGCTCTGTCTCATGCGTCTGTTACAGAATGGTGAACGCTAGGGCTTCAATTTGTGCGATAAATGTAAAATGTGATGAAAAATCAACTCTACGATCATGCTCATTTCTGCTAGCACCCCTGTGGGATTCTAGGTAACATTTTTCAGCCATGCTAGATAAAATCTGGATATTCGAAGCTTGTAAAATACTTCCAGAGGCCAAAAGGCCCAGAGTGACCTTTTTTCATGAAAATTGGTCCCACTTGTTGGACATTAAAATGTGATTGGTTGATTCTTTTGTCACTTACTAATTATGCTCAGGGGTGAATTTAGCGATTCTGGGGTCCTACTTGAAACACAGGAATGGGGCGGGGGGGCCTGAATGCACGTTTAAATTAGTGATGCAGCCGTGTACACTACAAGAAATGCTATCTTGTTATTATTATCTCACTATATTGGCATTGGATTATTTTGCTCATTTTAGGAAAGATACCTGAAACAAGCAAAATTATCTGCCAATATAGTGAGATAATTTGGTACAGAGTAATGGAGAAGTAAAGTAATGAGTAACAAGATTACTTTTTTCCCAGGAAGTAATAAGTAATGCAATCCCATTACGTATTCATATAAGTAATTAGTTGTAATTTTTTGAGTAATTACCACAACACTGGAGCTATCTATACTAACATTACGGTGGGGATTATGTCTGGTCTGTGCAGCACTCTATCTTTGGGAGTGTAGCAATAAACTTTTTGCTTTCCTCCCTCTTTTTGCATTTCTCTGCTGCACTTGGCTGATTTTATTTGATATTCTTTCTCAACACTTCAGGAAATCACACCAAAGGACCTCCTCTCCATAATGTACATTATCACTTAATTGTCTTTTTCATATTAGTCAGTCTTTACGCAGTTGTGTCAGCACATAACAATATGCAATAGTCCATTATAACCCTGACCAGGGAGTTGGGCTACATTAAAATGACTGAAAATAACATAACAGCTATTTCCAACACACACACACACACACACACACACACACACACGTATACAAATACACACACACACATATATATATATATATCAACATGTACACTATTTTAATGGGTCCCTTGGCTCATGGTTGCCCTCAGTGGCTGCCTACCTTCCCCTAATGCAGAGACCCTACTTGATTATTCTAGTGGTTGATCCGACACATTAGGCAGTTCTAACCAGTGGGAGATAACTTTGCTGTATCTAGCTAGATACTAGGGATGTGCATTGCGACTATTTTTCATATTTGAGTGTCTGTAAGGGTTAATAAATGGATTATTGGTTAACTGCATGGAAGAGGAAAAAACAACCCTTTGTAACCCTTTAGTCTCCAACCAAAATATAACAATAAAACAAGAGTATTACTACAACTTGTGCAGAGTTTAAATACAAGTATGATAATTATATTAAACAAAAATTAACAAAACATTACAGACATGTATTTTTTAATTTTACAGAATCCATTAGGCCTTCTCTGGCCTAGAGAGCCTTGAGGGTTTCCCCACTGCTGTAGCATATGGTCGATTACCACTGATTTCCCTGTATTTAGTAAAAGAACCTAAAACCCGTTAACTCAAAAAAGACTTTAAGAAACCAGTGAGCCTGAGTCACTTTCCATTAGATTCTTTTAGAAGTAGTTTTTGAATCTTTCCTGCTATTTTCTATGTACAGGAAAATGCTTAGAAACGATTGTGCATGGTAAACAGCCTTATGCTACAGATACAAACGATAGAGATCAGGTTGAAAAGTGCCGGAGTATCCCTTTAAGTCTTTCTCGAAAGCAGTGTGCTATTAGGGTGTCAGTTATCGGGGTGATTCATTGACTGATTGTTTGATTGATTAGCTCGCACCTTAAAGGCTATACGGCTTTCTCAGTTGCTCTTAACTGGTTGAATTATTAGCCGATGGATGTCTTGAGCTGTGCGATTAGCTGCACGTTCCAGCAGCTCCATTGGCCGGCTCCCAGGCCTTTTTGCTGGTTGGTGGGGTGGCAGTTTGACTGGCTCTCTGTGGTGATGTAGCATAGCATGATTGCCAGCTGGAAGGCTGACAGCCACACAGCCTTGTGACTGTTTGTAGTAGTGTGCAGCACTGTGTTTGTTGGGATTATGGAAGATTCTTGCAAGATCAACAGACACACACATACACACATGTCCATGATCCAAGAGTATATCAATCTGTTGTCTATCCAGTGTTGGTAGTCTGGGTTTGGAAATAGATCAGTGCCAATATGGTGCACAAAAATAACTTATATAAATTATAAAAAAATGTATATAATTTACAGTGTGTGTACACTTACTTTGTATTTGCACTCACGGGCCAATTTGATCAGGTACACCTACCAAAGGTGTACTTTATAGGTATACGATTACTGACTGTAACTCATATGTTGCTGCAGTTTTCCCCCTTCTACCCTGTCCATAAAAGGAAAGGGACAACCATAGAATGACCGCTGCCCAGATTTTATATGGATGGTGGACCATTCTCAGCACAGCAGTGACCCCAACATGGTGGAATGTTATGAGTGTGTGTTACTCTCATATGGATGTATCAGGCACAGCAGTGTTTCTGAGGAGTTTTAACTAAATATACAATGATTGACCACTCTGTTAAAAACACCTACATGTTGGTACATCCTGTGGATGAACAGTTAGATACTGAAGCTTAGTGGGGACGATATTACTTCACATAACATCACAGAATGCTTTTCTGAGCATATTGTAGATATCGTCAGTACTTAATGAGCACTGAACAACTGCATGTTTCTTTACAAAATAATTAGTGCAATGCAGTATCTGAAATGTTGAATAAAAATAATTGTATTCATAGTTTTTGATAGTAATTTTTAATTGTAGCTCTTTTTAAACTGTCTTGGTATGATATTATTATATTTTTTGCTGTATCACCCTGTACTATAGCTTATCTTTTCCCATTTGTGTTAGCCATCCTCTAGCTTCATCAGTGGTTGGTTTCTGACTATAATGGTTGTTTTCTGACCACTATTAGCTGGATATTTTGGTTCATATGCTGTTCTCAAGCCAGCAGCGATACTGAGGTTCGCAAGAACCCCAGCAATACTGCCATGCCTGATACACTCATACCTCAGTATCTGGTCAGTGGTGGTCCTATGGTGCTCCCTTTCCACTGATGGACACAGTAGTGGATGGCTTTGTAAATTGTGTAGTTACAGGTGAATCACAGCCACAAACTTACAAAGTGCAGCTAAATGGTGGGTGAAGCTGGTAATGTGGCCAAAAAGTGTAGGCCTGAGCGTTTGTCTGCCAATTAATTAAGTGGACTTAACCTTGTCTTGATTCACTAGATCACAGAGTTGCTTACATATGATGATAGTTTTTTTCCCCAAGGCTGGATAACTGGATAAAAGTCTCTTTTTTCAAAAAGCTTTGGTGTGTAGTTGTATGTGGACGTCCTGCCGTGAACGGGGAGTAATGGACAAAGGGAAAATATCTGTCAAAGACATGGTTGGAGAAGAATGACAGAAACGAAGTACAGGGAGTGAGGTCAAGCTTGGCAGGAGAGCATAGTGAGTAAAAGCTGTCCAAGTGGAAGAGTACAGTTGCCATTGTCTATGCTTAGATCTTACATTTACTGTCACTGGAGCTTGAAGGACCTGGCTGTGGTTAAATGTTGCTTTTTGTGGTTCAGCAGCCACATCTGACCCCAGTCTGGATTTGAAGCTGAACAGTGGCTCTGATTACTACTCGTTGCTTCTTTTCATGTGATTATAAGAAACCCTCACCTGCTGTATGATCACCATAACCTAAGGGCAGCATTTTCAGTACATTGCTGGATAACAGAAGTGCAGTCAAAGGGTTGGAGGGGAAAGTGTAAGAGACATCTCCAGCGAAGGGGAAGGTAATGGGAGCAGGCAGTAGCGCTCCCCTGAGTCATCCGTCCGCACATGATGAGCTCACAGCCAACACTGTATGGCTACTTCTCAGTGCTATTACAAAAGGCACTTTCAGGATTATAGAGCTTCCTGTGCTGCTGCAGTGTTCAGGCCTTAGTATGAATCCTTATTAGCCTGAAATGTGCCCAGGTCACTTACTCTCATATACTGGGAAGCTTTCTCTCTGGTATTCCTATTCAAAAAGTGATGGCTTTGTCAAATCAGTTCTCTGATAAATAAAATTGGTTGGAAATTGTATAAGTGCTCTTTTTGGACTGTCAGAAAGCAATGAGCAGTAAATTGTAAAATAAGCCTATTTGAATAGACTTGTACTGCCTTTGATATTGAATTTTACCAATTTAATAACAAGGGCAGGACAGGTGCTTTCAAATAGGTCTGCATTCTGACCAGTTGTGAATGTTTAACCCTTGAATGTAGGGCTGGGACCACTTGAAAATATTGATAATGGCCATAAAATCAATAAGTAGAATCGATAGGGTTTTTCTTTCCATTTTGTATGCATGAGCACTGTGCATGCTGAGCCTGGATTTACTTCATTTACGCAGCAGGGATTTGACCAGAGAAACGGCATCATCAGAAACAGTATTTTGTGTTCTTAATTATAGTTTAATGTTTCGTTGTTGTGAGGTCTTTTCATACGTGAGGTCTTTTTATACACAAGTTTTAAGGCTTTAACACACTGAAACCTTCACATCAAGTCAAATGTGCTTTTTTTTAATTTAACACTACAAGAAGACACAGAAGAAGAAGAAATGGATTTGTTGAGAAGTAACAACGAGTGCGTTTACATGCACCCAATAATCCGATCATAATCAGATTTCTGCAGTTATCTGATTATTCAAATGGTCATGTAAACAGTATACTCCGATTTATTAGATCGGAGTAAGGTCTAGAAATCTGAATAAGAAATCAGACAAAAAAGAGCTGGATTTTAGCTCAGCAATCAGATTTCAGCGCTTGTAAACTCTTACTCCGATTTCTTTCAGATTTCTTAGTCTGTGCATGTGTGAAACAGAAGGCAGTATTGGAAATAAGCAAGCAGCGTTGCCACGACATGGCAGCAAAACACATTTGGAGCGACGCTGACGCCAACTACATTCTTGATGAAATGAAGGATTTAAATATCTTTCGTCTTCTAGATGATGTATGTTCATATTTTCAGGTAAAGTGGCACAGTGTTTTTTTTTTAAATAAATCGCCATGGCATGAAGTTACAAAACAGTACAACAATGCTGTGTGTGTATTGGACTTCAACGCTGTTCTTCAGCTTTGAGCTCACGATCAGACTTCATCCATCAGCTCTGAAAGATGGCATAAGTGTTTATGTTTACTCTTTCAAACATGTATTTGTTTGGCTGTAAAACTTGGACTTTGTAAAACAAGGCTACAGAACCTGCCTTAAGCTTGATCCAGAGTAAATTTACATTGGGTCCTGGGGTAATTTCCTCTTTCACAGGTTCAACCATGTCAGTGTTTTTCTCTTCTCTGAGAAAATTAATTTTAGTGCCATTTGGATCCACATGCCCATGATTTTCTAAACAGATTTCTCCTTGTGTTGGAAAATATAGGTTTTTGACTGCTGCTGTTGTTTGTATTTAGTCTCCTAGTGTGCACATATATCTTTTACACTTCCTAAATCAGAAAACAATAGATGCTTTGGAAGAGTTTCTCAACCATTTACTTGGTAGCACTCTTTGTCCAGCCTCTCTACGCTGTAGATCACAGATCCCTCAGGCTGATTAAAGGTGCGATTATAACAGCATAGGACTTTCACAGTCATAAGATTTTAGCTGACGGTTAATTGGCAAGTAAATAATTGTGATTAACAATTTAATTGTCTTTTCTCGTTCATTGTTTTTAACTACACCGTTAGAAATAATGACACTGTGCAGGTGCATTTTTTGTTCATCAAGGTACAAACAATGCAAATGTTCCTTCATGCAACAGTACAACAGTGGATTTAAGATCCAGTTGTGCACCTTAAATAAGTTTTTTCAAGGTGAAAAGTAAGCATTTGTATCTTTTCATAACCTGATGTTTTAAAACAGAACAATAATATAAAAGGCCTGGAGACGAGACGGGGTGTGTGGAGTCAATACAACGTAGAAAATATAATTTCAGTGGATTATGGTACAATTATGTTCCCTTTCTAAATGTACTGAGATGTACCCTTGAAGGTACCACCCCAGTGACAAGATGGAAACTGCCCTGGTCACCGTTTCATACCTTTGCTTCTGAGAGTGGATTAAAAACATACAAGCCTAAAGTGCTAACACTGACTGTACCATCGAATCAAAAGTATGTGCACAATCACACAAATGTCCGAGAGTTTTACCATTGAGGATACATGTAGACATTTTATATGTCCTTCTGATTAACTCATATCTGAATATGGCTCTAGATATAGATATATACACAGATCATTTGTAACTGCAAAAGATGTTTCAAATAATGAATAATGAAAATTTAATAATGATTTTGTTCCAGTTTAGATTTTTTTGAAAATCAGCCCCCCTTTTGAATGCAAGGGTGTTTTTCTAACTGTTTGTACATTCATTGGGTTACAAAATGATCTGCAAACTTCAATGAAAGTGAAAAATTCTCAAAGCGTTTTGTTGACAACAGAAGGATAACATAATAAAATGTAGTTTGTTATATTTTGGTATTTTATTCCTCTCTGAAAAAAAATTGATGAAATGGAGGTCAATAATCACTAGGAATGCATTTATGACTTAATAGTGTCTCGTATAAGCATCAATCATCAATCTAATATATGACAGATGAAGAGAAAGAGTTTGCTACTTGAATAGCTTGTGAACAACTAATCAACTAAAGCTGAAGATGCCTCAGGTAACCACAAACTAGATCTGACTTGCTTGGACCAATTAGTCTCGGTTATAAGAGACTGGTTGATGCTATCTGTTCTTTTTAGCAGTGTGAGTCTTATTTTTCACACATCTCTCTATGATCTATTAAAAAAGAAGTTGAAAGGCGTGAGAGCTCTCTTTGTGAAGGCCTCCTGGCAGCGTTTGACACTACTGCATAGTAGTCATTAATAAATGATCAGTAATGGACATGGGTGGAAAGACGGACTGGTTTGCCAGCGCAACACTCCCAAAGCTCAGCTCACAGCTTCGGTTTGATTACAGCACTCCCACGCTGGTATTTCTGGCAGTACCGCAGTGCTGGCAGCCATCAGGACACAGCAGCAAGTGCTTGCTACACTGAATCTGGCTCTGCATGTGTTAAGCCTTATGTGTTAGCGATAAAACGTAAAGAACCCATCACAGGGTGTTTCTCCTGAGCATTGATTTTTTTTGCCTGATTGCTGCTGTTCTCTTTGTTTTTACTCTATAAGTTGTAGATGAGCACCCAACCCCCCTAACCCCCTTCAGAGCTCCCTCAATGGCTCTATGCCTACCAGTTGTGCCTCTTACAGGAACATGTTCATTTAGCTCTTATTGATGCATTTCTGCTTGACTTCCTCAGTACTGAATACATTTCCCTTCGTTTTTCTTCTGTTTTTCCCCTCAGCTGAAACATGACGTCCTTCCCTTGCACCTGTCCACTCATTCGGCTCACAACGTGAACCGTTTCCGCCTGCTGGAGGAGAAGAACAGAGCCCTAAAGCTAGAGGTGGCCGCTTTGAAGCAGCAGAAGCAGCACTACAGATCTCTGGTGAGTTTGCAGGTCTTAATGTCGTGCGTGTTGCAGTCCTGGTCTGGGCATTGTGGGCGGAGCATGGATAGGTCAGGTAGAACTGACAAGTCACATGAACCAGTGTGAATGGAGGAAAACAGTCTGAACCAGTGTGAATGGAGGGGAACAGTCTGAACCAGTGTGAATGGAGGGGAACAGTCTGAACCAGTGTGAATGGAGGGGAACAGTCTGAACCAGTGTGAATGAAGGAAAACATTTTACGGTAGTGTGAATCAGGAGAATGTTCTGGAATAGTATGAATGGGGGTGGCGTAGAACAGTGTAAAAGGAGGAGAACATTCTGGAACGGCACAAATGAAGAATCGTCTAAAACAGCGTGAATTGGGGAGAACATTTTGGAGCAGTGTAAATGAGAGAGGATGTTCTACACCAGTGTGAATGGGAGAGAACATTCTAGAAAAATGTAAATCGGGAGAACATTCCGGAACAGTGTGAATGAAGAACGTTCTAGAACAGTATGAATGAAAGAACTTTCTGGAACAGTGTGAATGAGGGAGAACATCGTGTAACAGTGTGAATGAAGGACATTCTAAAATGGTGTGAATAGAGGAGACAATTCTAGAACAGTGTGAATGGGAGAGAACATTCTGGAACAGTGTGAATGAAGAACATTCTAACATGGTGTGAATAGAGGAGACCATTCTAGAACAGTGCGAATGGGAGAGAACATTCTGGAACAGTGTGAATGGGGGAGAACATTCTAGAGACTCACTGCAGTCACACACAGGTAGAGCACACCAACCCATCATTTGACTGCTGGAGAACACTGGGTCACTGTGCTCTGGGCTTAAGAGCATGGAGAAGAAAAAGAGTGGAGGAAGTCTTTCAAGGTTTTCCAAGGTCCCAAGTGGCATGATGTTGAATCTATTGTTTCCCTGACAACCGTCCCACTGGCAGATGGATAATGGAAAACTGACTGACCATAGTGGTGCTTGTTGTCACTGTCATCTGTGACTGCAGATCGTTTTTTTGCTATAAAGGGATGTGACATGCACAAAGTGAGGCAGGGCACACCCTGTCTATCTGTCCTCCTCATTGCCATTGCATTCGTTTGTCTGTATTATTCTCCACTATTCCATACAGATTGTCTATTGTCTTGTCCTATGTGTACTAAATAGTTTATTGTGTGTATTATTGTATTGACTTTTCCACTGTTGTCACCACCTGCTTGTACGCTGATGTTGTGTTGTGCTAATTGTAACACTGTAATTGCAGGTGCTGTATTTTGAACCGTGACTATTACAGCTAGGCCTTCAGTTCAGGCCATAAATGTCAAGCTGAATGCTAGTATGGATGCTCAAGAACAATATACCACTATGATAATGCTAATTTTTGCTAGCACCTCTACTGTATATTTCTATGCTAACACTGGTGCACATTAGCATTTTTTGATTAAATATATTCTGATATATATTCTGAAGATATTCTGTATGTTTTATTTGAAGCTTTTAATAGATATTAACATATGTTACCTTGTATGCCATTTTACAGTGACTCAGTTAGTTAATAGACCTATGACTGCTGATTTCCATTTCTAACAAACAACTGACTGAAACCTGGTTCGACTGCCACTCATACTCACAGTCACGATTGGTTGATTAAACTGTGACTTCTTAATTATGTTGGTAGGTAGTGTGAAGTGTGAGGGCTTTTTGCAGCTCCTGAAGTCCTAAACAGTAGTAGAGCTTGCTTGGCTGTATCTGCCCACTAGTAAAATCCTGACTTGACAATTTTCCATTCAACCTTTCAAGAATATAACAGTTCTGTTTTGAACAAAATTTAACAATTAAATAAAAGTATTACTCCAATACCCACATGATAAGCATGATGATTATTTTGCATAAAAGTGAACTAAAGAAAATTTGAGGCCTTCTTTGAAGGTCTAGACAAACTTGAGGGCTCTCTACTGTATATTTCCTTCCTCACGCAATCAATGAGAAAGAATGACAGTAAAGTAAAGACAGTAAAGACTTCAGTTTAGATTTACAGTTGCAATGCACCTTAATAAACATGTCTGTAAATGTGCCAGTTTAGGCACAACTTGAATAAAAGCATATTCTTAAGGGTTCAACTATATAATGTAAATTACTCACGTTGTTTCAGACTAGATTTTTGTTTGGCTACCTAACACTGACACATTACATTGCTGCAATATATAAATATGGCATCAGTTATTCACTACGGACACTGTATTATTAATACACAGGCCAATGTATATACTGAGTGTCCATGCATGATGCATTGTGCATGCAAATATGATAGGAATGTCATATGACTTAGAAAGTATGCACATTTGAATGTGTTTTAGCATTAAAGTTTGAACAGCACTGAATTAGCACACAGCACACTACCGTCCTTAACACAGTGCGCTACTCATGTGCCTCCAATCCTGGATCCAACACAAAGCGTCTGAAACAGAGCGTGGAAAATAGAGTATGCGCAGGCTGGCTTGTGTCCAGCCTCTAGTTTATCAAACACCCTCGTTTATAAGCCGCACTGTTGTGAGTCAATTATGAGTCATGTGTTACTGGGATGAGCTAGACAGATAGTTTGTGACAGCGTCTGTTGCACGAGTCCCGTGGCCGGTTGCCAGGCGACCTGCAATGACTGACAGCGCAGAGAGTCGACCTGTGGTGATGAATGACCTTCTGTCTCTGGAGAAAGTGTCACGCTCCTACCGATGCTCTGGACCTGCCCACACCGTCGTCATGGCAATACAACTGCTGCAGAAATATGGGACGTGGCAGAGGAGCCTTTTCCGCAACATAATTGGTTTGAGGATAATAACAGTCATGAGTGTAATGACAATGGGTGATAATTAATAGAGACTAATAACGGTGGCGAGAGAGGCTACAGTCTACTTAATTAGCAAAGCCAATGTACATTTCAGTGGAGGATTCAAGAGCACGCTGTAGCGCAGGGCGTGGATGCTAGCGACGTACGGCGAAAGGGTTGTTTGAGCACAGCTGGTTCTGGCCAGGGCCTTGCCATCTCTTCTAATAGAATTAGACTCAGAATTAGACTCAGTGTTCTTCCAGCTGGCCCATATTGCTCCTATAACTCTATTATCCTCTCCATTGCATCGACTGGAACAGACGTTTAAAGCAGGGGGTCAGCTCCATTCCAACTCCCTGTCTCTGAGCTTCAAAAGGCCTGCCAGTGTCTGCTTTGACCCTCTGCTTCTTTGATTGATTGATATATTCATGATTTAAGTCACGCAAGTGTACAAACCTGTTCTTCTTTATGGATCTGTACTGTCGAGTACTCGGTTAACCATTTGAGTTGCCAGTATTTTAACACTGAAGTCACTGTTTGGCTATTTGTTACGTTCCATCACAGGAAGTAGGGGCATCATGCAAGCCAAAAATCTGGGGGGCACAGTTAGCGGGGGGTCCTTCCCCAGGAAAAAAGAAAAAATAATAACGCCGTTTTCTCCAAACTAAGTCAGTTTTTGTACATCAGTAATCTTCCACTTTATATTAGGCTAAATACTGTATATTTATTTAGAGGTTTTCATGTCAATTATTTGTCCTGTTATAAAATGACACTCACTTATTCACTCACTTATTCACTCACTTCTACACTAGCTTACACTGCTGCCACTTTTCTTGAAAAGAGCTAAATCTTGTCTGCTTCACCCAAAAAGGGGCATAAATTAAGGGGCATAAATTCACATAAAAAGACTGTCAACAATTAAATTAATTTTGAGAATATAGATAAAGCCAGAGTTAAAAGGAACCTGCCAACATGGTAACTGCTGTATTTTCAAACACAGTGCGTTGAAAGACGCCTGAGTACAGATGAGACTGCTCGCTGCTGTAAGATTCACACTGCTCTCCTTTATCAACATTAAATAGGATGTCATGCTACACAAGTTATGACTAGCTAGCGTGCCAGAAGGCCAAACAACCAGAGGGATAGCTACTAACTTTAACTGGTACTAGCTATAGCCAACTATCTTGCAAAGCAAACCATTTCTATATTTCTTAAATGAACTTAATGTGTATAACTAATTGCATTTCATTTTCACTCTCTGCTCTCACACTGTTCGTCAACCGTTCAGCACTGACTCACACAGAGTGCTGTGTGCGTCTGTATCTGCTGTTGCAAACTGATTTCATCCTGCAACTTTTGGAAGAAACCAATACCATAAGGAAAGGGGGTGTGTGACTTTGAAGTGTGATCTATGACATAATTAGAAGAACATGTTTGACTCATATAAAATGTATATAAAAAAATGATATAAATATAAATGTATAAATATAAAATGACCATAACTACATGAAAATAATCAAATAAAATTAAATAAAAATATAAAATACACATATATCAAAAATCTGGTGGGACACATGCCCACCCAGCTAGAATGGGCATTACGCCCCTGACAAGAAGACAAATAAAACAGACCAACAATTCAGTGAAATGCCACTTTTACGTTTAAAAAAGACTGTAAGATGTGGTGAGTTTGCTCATATTGTCAAGGAAGTGTGTATATTAACTAAAAAAACAGGAAGGCCTAAATATGAGCACAGCATTAGCGCTAACATGGCTAAAAAAAGTTCCTTTACCTGACGTTAGCTAAGTCCAGAAACAGTAAAAATACATTTCTCTGACAGAATAATATGTTGCCACATTGTCCATTAAGAAAAAAAGACCACCAGTAAGATGATGAGTCCTCATCAGCGTTCAATTAGCTGTTAGCTCATAAGCTCATCCTAAGCAGCCTCTGTTACTCATTCAAAATCTACCAATTTTTTGGCTATATTTGAACAATGAAACATTTTCAAATGTATTTATTTCTGTGCTGCTAATTTTTGTGCAACACCAGTGCTGTAACCTAAAAAGCTAATCCTACTGTCCTACATTCATTTCAGCAGAAGTACATTCTTTTCCTTCCCATGGTTAACCAAGTAACTATTCATTAACCCCTATGGGTACTTGAATATCAAATTAGCTGGA